ATCTACCGCCAGATCTGTTAGACCCTAGAGGGGGGGTGATTAGGGTCTTATGCTAATCTAATCCGATTAAATGCCAATTAAAACTTATTAACAAGTTATCCTAGCAAGTATGAAATACAACAATGTATATGAGCTAGGATAAGTAATATGAACAACAAAGAGATATATCCTATATGATGAATATGTATATATGCAAGGATATATAAACAACACAAGGGTAAAATAACCAATCTACACAAGTGATAGGGTAATATGATGAGCAATACACAAAGGCGATATAAGATATGAAATTCAATAGTAAAAATGCTAGGAAATAGAGTTAAGGAAACTTCTCTATAAACACAAAGAGAGGATGATGAAATGTTGAAGATGAACTCTTCAATAGCTGATTGCAAACTCCTCTTTGTAACAGCAAATCAAAAACAAACTTAAACCAAAACTAAACAGGTTTAAACCCTTGTTTAAAACTTGTTAAAACATTCTCTTGGATAGCTTGAGAGTTAAAGACAATGGGGTATTTATACCCTCTCACAACTCAGCCAAGAAACCAGAGCAAAAGACAAAACAGCCCCAAGGCAACGGTCAAAAAACTAGCCGTTGGAAGCTGAAGAACACTCGTCGGTCGACCGGAAAATTCGTCGGTCGACCGAAATTTTCATCGGTCGACCGGACCGGTCGACCGACAGGCTTCTGTCGGCCAGTAAACTTTTGACCTCAGGTTCGGTCGACCGGTACGGTCGACCGAAATCTGATACATGAAAATCTGTATAGGTTCAAAAACATGAAAACCTGAAAATTGATATTTTGATATTTTGACTTAAACAACATTTTGAAACCTTATGAAATGATTGTATAGACTTGATAAAAGATATAATATGTTGTTATGAAGTCTATAACCTAGAAATACAATATTTTCATAAAATTGCATATTCTATGCAATATATTCAAAACACTAAATATGATTTCATTAAATATAAGCTTGTTAAAGGTGAAATCATATATAGGCATATAAACATGAAACAAAATAGTATTTTCCAATTCTATTCATTTGTTTCATAGTAAAACCTAAAAAACTATCAAACCAAAACACATATGTATATATATAACTATATATATACAAAAACCAAAAACGTGTATGTGTGTATATGATTGAGCTTAATATATGTATATATATAACTATATATATACAAAAACCAAAAACGTGTATGTGTGTATATGATTGAGCTTAAAGTACTAACACACATAATATAAATTCCTAAACTAAATTACCCAAGCAATGATCTTGATCTTCAATAAGCTTGACTTGGTAATCTCACGGATGAAGCTTGAACTTGGATCTTGAACTTTGAATAGCAAGGCTTCACCGACATTCCGCCAACCTCCTTTGGATTTCATCGTTGAAGCTCTATTCCATCCATCCTCCAACAACGTTGTTTGTCTACAAAATATAGGAATACACAAACACTAGACAAACAACATTAGTAGCAAATTGTTTGTAAATCATTATCAAAACAAGAAGGCCAACAAGATCATGGATTTCCTCACCTCTAACCAACCGATCTGGTCCGACTCTGACTTCGCCGCCTCGTTCGATGCCACCGGGATTTCTGCCACCAACTAGGGTTCCTTGAGAACCGTTCTCAACCCACAACCCCTCTTTTTACTCTCTGTGTGAGAGAGACAAAAAAATCATGGCTGCAAATTTTATTGAGAAGTTTCCTCAGCTTGATGTGAAATTTACAAGGACCAATTACCGTGAGTGATCGATTTCTGTGCAACTTCTTTTTGATGCTCTTGATCTCACGAGTCACATTGATGGAACGCCACCTCCTGAATCTGGAGCTGATGCTAAGCAAACAGCAGCATGACTTGCAGATTGCCGAGCACGTGACATTGTTTCTTCCTCCGTAGAGATTGACATCTGTGTACAGCTTGTTAGTCTCCAGATTGCACTTGCCATGTGGCGCCAATTGCAATGACTTTATCAACAATCTAGTCATGCCTACTCATATTTTGTGTACCAAGAGCTCTCTTTTGCTCAACAAGATGGGCGATCCATCCAAGAATTTTATAATTTTATGCATGTTCAATGGCGCCAACTTGCAATAATGGAGGAATCCTTGTGTCAAACTTGTGCAGTTTGTTAATGTGCCACCAAGCAGCGTCATGTTCACGATCAACATCGACTATTTCAATTCTTGATGTGTTTGCCACCTGAGTATGAGTCATTGCGCAGTCAAATTCTTCATCGGGTCACCACTACCAACTATTGATGATGCTTTGGTCAAACTCATCGCTGAAGAGACTCACCAACGTGTCCTGAACACAAAGACCACTTCTATTCAAGGTGCTCTTGTTGCTCAATAACCATCTATACCACAGTTATCTTCGACCACTGTCTCAGCATCATCAGTCCCTTTCAGCAAGCAAAGGATTGCCGGTATTGTCGTCGTCCTGGACATATCATCCAAAATTGTTTTAAGCGACAACAAGCTGCAAACCGACTTCCTAGTTAATAATTGACTGCTACTGTGGCAAATTCTGGTGATAAATCTTTTGCTGATGAGTGTTCTACAAACCAGGTTGCTTTCTCTGGTGCTCCTGAGGAATCCATTTCGAGTGTTACTCTTTCTGTGTCACAATTGATCCATATGCTTCAAGGGTGGGGTACTTCTTTCTCTTCTCCGGTTGCTGCTCTAAGTGTTCTTACACCCTCTCTATTTGGTACTTCTGGTCATACTTTTTTCACTACCTTTGGTCCCACAAGTATACCGAATAATATTTGGATACTAGACTCTGGTGCTTCATTTCATATGACTCCACATGCATCTGCTTTATCCTCTTCATCACCTTTATCTTCTCAAGTCAATGTTTTTACAGCAAATGGCTCTTCTCTCTCTGCTACACATAAGGGATCTATTATCGGTCGCTTATCTGTTCCATATGCTTTACACATACCATATCTTTCATTGAACTTACTTTCAGTTAGTCAAATAACTGATCATAATTGTATTGTGATTTTTTATTCTACTTCTTGTTATGTGCATGATCATCAGATTGGATCCTTGATTGGTCAGGGACATAGGCGTGATGGACTTTACATTATGGATCATCTAACACTACCATTCACTTCTATCACCCATTCTGCATCCGTACATTTTGTCACCACTCGCGCTGATGCTTTTTTCATAGGAGATCTTTAGCATCATCGATTAGGTCATTTATCTACTGATCATCTTTGTCTGCTCTCAAATAATGGTGTTTTAGGTAGTTATCATATTTCAAGTTTGTCTACTTGTATGGGATGTAAACTATCTAAACAAGTCATTAAACCTTATCCTCTTTGCGAGTCTCAAAGTAGCTTCCCTTTTCAACTTGTTCATTCAGATGTTTAGGGCCCAGCTCCCTTCATCTTGTAATGGTAATAAATATTATGTTATCTTTATTGATAACTTTTCTCGTTATACTTGGGTTTATTTTATGTATCACTGCTCATCTCTACCTCAAATTTATAAAGATTTCACTACTATGATCAAAACTCAATTTGGCACTATCATTCAGACCTTTCGATCTTATTCTGGTGGTGAATATCTCTCTCATGAGTTTCGTCGTATTCTAGCTGATCGGGATACTCTCTCACAGCTTTCATGTCCTTATGCACATCAGTAAAATGGTGTTTTAGAAAGAAAACGTTGTCATATTATGGATACTACAAGATCACTACTCATTTCTAGCTCCATGCCTAAACAATTTTGGGCTGATGCTGTTGCTACATCTATGTATCTCATCAATTTGATGCCCTCTTCAGTTCTTTCTGGCATATCACCATTTGAAAAAAATTGGCATCCTATCATTCCTCTTATTCACATCTTCGTATGTTTGGCTGTACTTATCTAGTTCTATTACCATCTCATGAAAGAGATAAGTTATCTCCTCATTCTGCGATTTGTGTTTTTCTTGGATACAGTCTTGAGCACAAAGGATATCGTTGTTATGATCCAAGATATTACTTTTTTAGAGCATATTTCATATTATTCTAAACAGTCCCTCAATGACAATAATACATCACCTACTTCCGTTGACCTTTCATTTCTTGAGCTTACCACACCTTCGATTCTGGTAGATTCATCACCTTCATCTTCATCCTCTGATGATCACCAAAGTGTACATGTTCCAGTCTCACCTGCTGACCATTTAATCTCGGCCTCAGATGATGATTCTTCACTAGCTGATCGTTGCTATCCTCTCCGTATTCGTAAGGCAAAACAATTTTTTGGTTGTCTTTCTTCATCTTTTACTCCTGGTTTTCATGCCTTCTTTATAGCCATTCATTCACATCTTGAGCCTACATCTTATCGCTAGGCTGCTTCTTCTCCTGAGTGGCGAGCAGCTATGGAAGAAGAGTTAGCCTCCCTTCAAAAGACTGGTACATGGGATCTTGTCTCATTACCTCCAGGCAAAGTCCTAATTAGTTTCAAATGAGTTTATAAAATTAAAACCTATTTAGATGGTACAATAGATCGGTACAAGGCTTGTCTAGTTGCTCGAGGCTTTACCCAAGAATATGAGATTGATTATGAGGAGATATTTGCTCATGTGGCTAAGATGACATCAGTTCGAGCTGTTATTGCTATCGTAGCTGCTCAACAGTGGCCTCTCTATCAGCTTGATGTGAAGAACACATTTCTTCATGGTGATCTTCACGAAGAAGTTTATATGCAACCTCCTCTAGGTCTTCCTCATTTGTCAGGACAAGTTTGTCATCTTCGTCGTGCATTATATGGCCTATAAAACAAGCTCCTCAAGCTTGGTTTGAGAAATTCAGCTCTGCAGTACTTAATATGGGTTTTATTCAGAGTGAGGCCGATCATGCGATGTTTGTTCATACCTCTAGTCGAGGACGCACTATTCTTCTCCTTTATGTTGATGATATGGTCATTACTGGCAGTGATCCTTTATTTTTGAATACTGTGAAGACTTCTCCACATCAATAATTTGAGATGAAAGATCTAGGGCATCTTCGATATTTTTTGGGACTCGAAGTTGCATATGGGCCACGAGGATATCTTCTTTCTCAACAAAAATACATCTCTGATCTTTTGGATCGAGCTGAGTTGAATGATGATCAGATCGCTGACATACCTCTTCAGCTCCATCAAAAACTAGCACCTGATACAGGAGAACTCTTGGAAAATCCCACTCGGTATCGTGAAATTGTTGGTGCTTTGGTCTATCTCACTATTTCTCGACCAGACATTGCATATGTTGCTCATGTGGTGAGTCAATTTGTTCAATCTCCTACCTCAGTTCACTATGCTGCTATACTTCATATTCTACGCTATCTTCGTGGCACTTTATCTAGAGCTCTTTTGTTCTCCTCAACATCAAAGTTATAAGTTCATGCCTTCTCTGACTCCGACTGGGCCGATGACATTAGAGATCGTTGATCTATTACCAGTGTTTGTGTATTTCTTGGTTTACTCTAATATCATGGCGAGCTAAGAAGCAAGATGTCGTCTCAAAATCTAGTGCTGAAGCGGAGTATCGAGCTATGTCTAATACTACCTCTGAGATTAGTTGGTTGTGAGTGCTTCTACGTGACATGGGTATTGATTGTCTCTCCCCGACTCCTCTCTATTGCGACAATCAAAGTGCAATAAAGATTGCCACCAATCCAATGTTTCATGAGCGCACAAAACACATTGAGATTGATTATCATTTCACACAACATCACTTTTCAAAGACTAAGGCGATCTCTCTATCATATGTTTCTTTTGAGCTCCAGCTTGCTGATTTTTTCACCAAGGCTCACACCTTCAAGCGTCACAAATTTCTACTTTCCAAACTCTCGGTGTTTGATCCACCATGAGTTTGACGGGGGGTGTTACGAATATATGGTTGGATATTATTCCTATATGTATATTATATCCATACCTTGTATAAGAGATTATATATATACCTTATTAAGATGGTGAATATGCTAGAATAATTATATTATTCCATACTATATTTGTACAATGTAACTTGCATATATTCATAGTTAATGAAGGAATACAATCAAGCCTTCTTGCTCAGTAATTCTTCCTCAATTATCAGACAGAAGCTCTATTATTACTGATTTCCATACCCAAAAAAACAATAATAATAAAACTAGTGCGACGAGCATCACCAATCACTCCATATCATTGAACTAAACATTGTTTTTTATTTACAAGAAGTGCAAGGTCCGTATGTAATTCTGAGAATTTTCTTTTGGGCGGCAGAGTTCAGTTGGAAGTTGGAGCAGCCGGACATTTTGACTTTATATATATTTGGGAATCGTAAGATTTTGACTTTGAAGCCTGTAACTGGGACAGTTGAACGCGTCTTCTGACCGATAATTAACGTGTGAATTTTGAGGGCAGGTCAAAATGGCTACACTAATAAACTGCAGATAAAATTCCTATTTCTTACAACATCTTTTAAGGGATTTTCCTAGAAACCACTTAAACATAGGATAATTATATAAAAATTACTTTTTATTTTTAATTTATACATGAACCACCATTAAAATAAATTTTGTTGCAATCAACCCATTTCAATTAAAATTTTGTCACTAAAAATCTAAAATTAAAACTAAACCCTTCACATTCAAGGAACGTAACTCGTTTTATTAGTGTTTAGGTTTTATTAGGATACAACAAACGTGTCTTGAACTTAAAATTTTAAAGCTTATTTTTAAATTTTTAGTGAAAATTTGACTGTGAGGTGGTTTTTACAATAAAAAAACCCACCTTAAAGATAGTTGGTGTACAAATTGAAACCGAAAAATGTTTTGCCTAGAAATACCCTATTTTTAAGATGATTTCTATGATTCGAAAACATTATCTTTTACTTTTGCAAACTTTTCAGATTGAAATGATTCGCGTGTATCATTTACAAGATATAACATATATGAATCCAAACTCAACACATTTGTGGAATGCCCTAGATGAATCACCTTTATGGAATGTCCTAGACAAAATTTTTTCAGACTTGAGTTTCCTGTTCATTTTCCAAAATGAAATTTACAACTTAGGAATTAACTGATATTTGCATTCTAATATTGGTGGGTAAAAATAACAAACGAAACAAAGTTTTCTATAAACATTGCTCTTGAAATAGGTGAAAAGTATGCCTTTGATGTAGCGGAAACATAATCGAAGAAGATAACTATCTATTCTGGTATGAGCAAAATGATACAAAACCTAGAAAACTTTAGAAATAGAAAACTTTTTCAAATAATAATAACCAATCTGAAGAGTTTCACAAATTTATTCCCCCTACATAGGGTGTAAAACAAATTCATTTCCCTTATATAGGGTATAAAACAATGCAAATGTACTAAAATAATATTTCTTAAAGCAAATAGACTCGATTTTAATAAGAATTAGAAACTAGATTAGACTAAAACTCATCGAGGTGTAGGTTGAGTCTAAGAACGATTACTTTGACCTCGAACTTGGTTGGAATGGCAAAGAGGTTCAACCCGTAGAGCAATTTCCAAGCTTTCCAAAAATATATAATATATAATAGCGATTCTATGGAGGGGGTCAAAAGTTACGGTCTATTAAAGTTGCACATCGAAATTTAGCCGAAATTACCCTTATTTTCTTGGATTTTCTGAGCTTCACACGATACGGTTTCTCTCAAAAGGCATCAGCAATTGCCTTCAAATCAGCCTTCATACCCTAATCATATTATACTATAAACTGATCAAATCATCCTCTCAAACATTCAAATTTGATTTGTTCCTCATTTGAGTTTTCTTAATTTCTCAAAGCATAGCTCTCAAGTTAAAGGAGATGAGAGCAGGAGTGCAAAATCTTTGATAAAAATTTAGAATGTTATGCAAGGTAAAATGTGAATTCGTGAGAAATTTCAAGAAGTGATTAAAAAATTAGGGTTGCATTCTCTGTTTCATCTCATATATTAAAAAGAAGGTTGTCGTAAGTTAAGTAAACTTTTTTATTCATTTTGGAATGTAAAAAAACAATTTATTTTCTTGGCACTTAAACACCATAAAGTTTCCCCTATTTTGATTTTTTTGATAAGCTAGCCTGAAATCGAATCCAAAATCGTGGGAGCTATATGAGAACCTTCTAACCATCCGCATTACTCGTGTAGATCTGTTCAGACACTGAAATACCACAAGTACTGCTGAAAATAAACAGGGTTTAATGACACTAGTAGGATAATGTGGGTTTGAGTGATTTTCGAGTTGCTGGGCCCAAAAATAAATCCTTGTGGAACTTTGGGTTTAAATTTTGGGGAAATTGTGTCAAGGCCCAAAAAGTAATAACTTCATGTGCTACAGGCCCTCTAACTTTTTCCCATGTGCCGTAGCTCTTAAATTGGGGATCTATGTGCTGCAGCCCTTCTTTAGTAATTATTCCCTACCAACTAAGAATAGAGAGAGAATAAAAAAATAAAAAATCCAAAAATGCCCTTATCTCTTCCATTCTTTTCTCTCTAAATCTAATGATCATGGCTCCTCATTCTTCCTCTTTTCTAACACATCTCCTTCCCCCTCCCCCCTCTTCCTCTTTTTTCTCTCAGACACCGACATACCCCTCTGTCACCACCGAACTTAGGTGCACGCTCCGGTCATATTGTTGATCTCGGGGTATATATTACATAGAAAAAACTCAATATGATTCATTTTTTGCTCTCACTAATTTTCCCCGCTCTCTCTTTCTTTTCCCCCCAAAAGCAAAATAAACCCAAATTTGGTCGGTAATGGCAATAGCAATGGTGAAACCTTCGAATTCGTTGAAGTTCTTGTTGGAGGATCCGTCAAACAACATATCAGTCTCCGACACTGAAGGCGAAGAACAAGATAGAGGAGACGGTGTTCGAGGAGGACGACGAGGAGCTCGTGTGTTAAGTCTAATGAAATTCATAATTTCTATTTGAACATTGTGGAAAGATGAAAAGTTAAAGATATGTCAGCTAAATATGATTTTTTGATGATTTTTTATGTTAAGTTCAAATCTAAGGCGAAACATTAAGTCTAATGAGTTGGAAGTGAAGTCCAAGGGCTTATATACTAAGTTTATTGGGTTGAATAATAAGTCCAAGGAATTGTACGTTAAGTCTAATTTATTGAATATTAAGTGTAATGGATTATATGTTAAGTCCAATTTGGTTCATGTTAAGTCCAATTTAAATCATGTTATGTCCAATTTGGTTTATGTTAAGCCCAATTTGGTTCATATTAAGTCCAATTCGGTTCATGTTAAGTCCAATTTTAATCATGTTAAGTCTAATTCAACTTGTTTTAAGTCTAATTTCATGTTAAGTCCAATTTAAAATATGTTAAGTCTAATTTAATTTCTTTTAAGTCTAATTTAAACCATGTCATGTCTAACTTAACTTGTTTTAAGTCTAAAAGCAAGTTGAATTGGACTTAACATGAATCATGTTAAGTCTAATTCAAATTGTTTTAAGTCTAATTTCATATTAAGTCCAATTTAATTTATGTTAAGTCTAATTTGATTCATGTTAAGTTTAGTTTGATTCATGTTAAGTCTAATTTAATTCCTTTTAAGTCTAATTTAAATCATGTTATGTCTAATTTAACTCATTTTAAGTCTAAAAATAAGTTGAATTAGTCTTAACATGAATCATGTTAAGTCTATTTCAACTTATTTTAAGTCTAATTTCATGTAAAGTCCAATTCGGCTCATGTTAATGTTAGCTCTCATGTTTATGAGCCTATTGTCTAATCTAGTTTTGATGATTAATAAATAATTTCTAACATCGTTTGTTGAGTGTTTGTATTTGATTGTTAGGTATCCTACATAAAGATCATCTGTCAGAGGTTGGTTGGAATTGAGCTTAATGATAACTTTCAAAGGAGGTTGGAAGGATATCAGAATGAAGTCATCGCTATTCAAGTCAAACATATTATTGCTTCATCCATTCTACGAGAAGAGGATCGCCCAAGATCAAGCGTCACATGATCACTTAGCTTGAGTATAATGGTTTATAGCTTTCAAATTCAATCGTATAAATACGAAACAAATATTTATATTTATAGGCATACATTATTTGGGAAAATAATGTTTACAGATTAAAGACTTAATTATCACTAGTAGAAAAATGAGCAATCTAGACGGAAAATTCCATCTAGGTTGCTCTACTTCCCATCTAGGTTGCTCCACCTAGACGAATTTCTGTCTAGTTTGCTCCGTCTAGTCTGATTCCATCTAGATTGGGGCAAACTAGACAAAATTCCGTCTAGGTTGACTAACCTAGACGGACATCAACCTAGAGGGATTTCCGTCTAGAATGCTATAATATCAACCTAGACAAAATTCCGTCTATATTGACCCATTCTAGATGGAAATTCCATCTAGGTTGATATTTTTTCAGC